GCTGGTCCTCTTTCATGTGCACCACCTTCCTATTGTTGTCAGACAGTTTAAGATTGCGGTGGACTGTGTTCACATCCACTGTCAGCCCACAGAAATCTAAAAGAACAAGGCAAACACTGTTACTACTGCAATAAACAATGAAACCTCAAATAAAACTAGGACAGCAAATGGCCTGTTGTCAACACACATTGTGGAATGTAATGTACTGGAGAATTAACTGGACATGAACAAATTTCTACAATACTTAACTGAAAAGTAGCCTAAAACAAACAAAATATGAAGATATAAAACTACACACCTGAACACTACTGAATCCACATCAAAGGATACACTATGAAACTTTCATAACACATGGGATCACATTGTGCTCTCTTATACCTGGCATTTTTTAATTGCTATAATAACTATAACTTATGATTTTATAAGCACTTTTCACTTTTTTCTTCTCTTGTGTTAGAAATGTGTGGTCCAAATTTCCTTTTAGGTGGTGTAAACATGAAAATCAATCGAACTGTAATAGCCTTCATCTTATGTCCTGCACATTTTTTGTTGGTCTCCCCAAAAAAACTCTAAATACTCAAGAACTGCCCCTCACTGGGCAAACAGTATCTTTGTTGCAAGCTGGGTCATCAATAGCACTTTTCTGCTCTTTTGAGAACTCAAAACATTTTATAACATGCCTCATTCCCGCTATGCACATTCATAAAGCACATTTTTCTATGCCTAGATGTGTTTTTTTCCTAATGTTTGTACACAGTCACACTCAGATGGATGCATCACAGAGCAACTTGTGGTTCAGTATTATCCCTAAGAATAATTTGACACGCAGATTGTAGTAGCTAGAGATCAAACCACCAACTTTCTGATTCATGGGTGATGTGCTACAGCCATGTGAAAGTGGATATTTAATATGTTGCTCTACTTTTATTGTCGTAGTATTATGTATTATTTTATTGTGTTAGCAAAATAACTCTACCTTCCAAGACACAAAGGAACGAGATGCATGTAATATATAAGCTGGAGTGGAGCAAATTGGATTTAAATATAAAGGAATTTGTTACATGACAGTAGGAACTAACATAAAACACACTTACATTTCTTTAGACCCGTTTTCATCCACTGGTCTCCATGAGGATCCATTCTGAAATTAGTAAAGACAAAGAAAAGCACAAATGCTTTTAGCTTAAAAAACCAGACGTTTTCAACTTTTTTCCTTCACAAAAGCAAAATATATTTTCATTATTATGGTATTTTTCCTGCACAAACTTGACTCTTTACCTAAGGGTGTCCAGTCTCCAGCAGGGATCCTCCCGTAGAGGAGACAGCAGCTTTATTCCTGAGT